GTCTTCCATATCTATATCCTTCCAACTGCTCAGGACAAAAACCTTGATGTTATCCTGGATGCCTCTCTTTCCTACACATCCATGGTGAGTCTGTCAGAAAAATCCTGTTAGCTCTACCTTCAAAAATATCCAGAATCTGATCACTTCTCACCACCTTCATAGCTACACTCAGGTTACTGCAACAGCCTTTTTATAGGTGTCTGCCTCCACTCTACTTAACCTCCTACAATCTAGTCTCAACACAGCAGCTAAAGAGAGCAATATTGTTAAACAGATCAGTGGCTTCCCACCATACTCCAAATACATGCCAAAGTGCTTACAGTGGCCTGCAAGACCCTCCAAAATCTACCATACCTTTATTTATTGCTGTTTCCCCCTTGCTCACTGCAGTCCAGTCCCCTTAGCTCCCTTTGGTGTTCCTCTAATGCATGACAAGCTTCTGTCTCAGGGCCTTTGCACTTGTTTTTCCTTCTTCCAGGAATGCTCTTACTCCAGACTGTTCCAGTATGCTTCCTCGCCTCTTTCAGGTCTCTGATCAAACAGACCTCAGGAAGGCCTTCCTTTACTATTCTGTAAAACTGCAACCCATCCTATCTTTACCCTTGAGCACTATCCCTTCCTACTTTACTTTTCTCCAAAGCACTTATCACTCTCTAACAGCTACTTAATGTACCCATCGAGTTGTTTATTGCCTTCTATGAGAATTTAAATTCCACAAGTGTAGAGTCTTCTGTCTGGCTGTTCACTGTTATATTCCCAGAACCTAAAACAGTGAGGAGTGCATGACAGTCTTAAATGTGTCAGCTCTTTTCTACCTAGTTACTAGTGACTCCACCTCCAGGAAGCTGTAGATATATTATGTAAGAATACAGGTAGTTGTCTGTGTGAAAAATTCAAGTTATTTGTATAAAGCAAGATGGACTAACAGTATAAATTTACCTCTGTTAACTACAAAAATGATGACAGAGTGTTAAACTAAAGCTATATTTAAGTTGGAAGCTAAAATAAAATGCTCAAAGGAAAAAATATCTGTAATAATATATAAAAAGATAATATAATGTTGTATGTCAATTATATCTTTAAAAAAAAAAAGATATGGAAATGGCCCAAAGTACCATAATGAGTGGTGGAGGTCCCACAATCAGATAAAAATTAAAGGCCCATCACCCTAGCAATGTGTCCAGGGTCCCTGGTACCAGTTCCTACACTGGACCACACCCAACTGAAAGGATAACACCTGAAGCTAGCCCTCAACCAGGAGGAAGTAACTCCACAAATTGCTTCTATTATCCTTACTATTGCTACCTATCTATTCACAGACTTGACAGAAAAGATGCTGATACTCAGAACTGACAGCACCACTTGTAGGAGACTCAGTTTTTCAGACATTGGGCCAAGAATCAAAAGAAAGACAGAATGCCCTCTCCCACCTCTTCCCTATGTTCTTTTTCTGTTCTTGGGGTATAAAGAGAGTGAAGAAAAGGGAATGCAGGTAGAGATATAAAGTATATTCTAAAGATGTCCTGCCTCTGTCTCTGAAGGCAGGTTTCTCTAGAGGAAGTTTAGGAAACTTAATTATGGTTTTTAAAATTAAAAACCAGTATTTGAATATTCTGGTCTTGCACACATACGGCTGTTAGTCCCAGATTCCATCTCCACCAGCCACTTGCCGCAAGCATGACGCTTAGCAGATTTTAACATCTCTTTGATACAAATATGTTAAGGAATAAACCTTAATGACTATGTTATCAACTTAAAAGATCAAAAATAGTATGGAACAGATACTCTTCAGTTACACAGTCCGTAAAACAAAGTACTTAAAAAAAAGTGATATATAAATGTTACAACACAGAGCTGGGCCACAATCTTCCAGGGCTCCCCAAAACTTCCTCTACAATTAAGGGTAACTACTCTATTAGAGAAAATCAGAAGCCTAGAAGATATTAGACAACCAAGAGAAGCTTTATTTCAAAAACCACTTTACTTTCTCTTTAGAGGTTACTCTTCAATCAAAGACTTCGGGGATGACTACTAGGGGACAAAGGTATATTTTTCAAAGAAGTAAGCTTATACACAATAATGTGTTTTAATAATACTGACAATTGCTTAAAACTACTTTGCTTTCTACCATTCTGACAAAAGTATCTAAAAGCTAACCCGTCTAATTGGAGAAGATTCAACTCTCAGCCACTTCACATCTTATTCCAATTAGCTTGGTAAACTGAAACAAAGACAATCACTCAGTTCACACTGGTTGGTGTCAGGTACCACATCTGAAGTAGTTGTCACAATAATTCACAGTTTTAAATACCAAATGCCTATCTGCTTTTTAAAAAGTGAAAAAATACGCTAGTATTGAACTGTTAAGATCACAAGTTTCAAAACAAATAAATTCGCGTTATAAGCATACAATTAAAGGCAGTTACTCCTAACAAATAAAAGTCCCTGAAACGGTAACAGAATTCTATTTATTTCCCCCACGATAGTGAGGTACCGGTGTTTTGGCTTCTCAGGACATTTTTACTTATAATTGAGCCAATTCAACCAATAGTTACTGACCTCCCGCGGGTGGGCTATTGAGCCGCGTGAGGAATACAAACTGAGAAGGACACAATCTCTGGGGGCCGCAAGGGAAGGGCGAACACGGACGATCCCTACACTGGGACACGAGTGGAGGAGTGCCCCAGATCGAGAATTAAGTACAACTCCCTCTTTGTGTTTATAAAAACTAAGACGAAAACTACTGCCCCACAGACAGCTCCAAACTCTCCCCGAAGAGCGGAGGGCAGGCGGCAGGTGGCAGGCAGCCTCCGCTCCGCGCCTT